ACAAACTCAACCCACATGAGACGCCAGGTCCGGGAATCGAACCCGGGCCACAGTGGTGGGAGGCGAGTGCTCTCACCACTGCGCCATCCCTGCTCCCCAAGGAAGGGCTAAAGGGGAACAGAGAAGAAAAAGGAGTGACTAAAACTGCCCACATTTTCTATCCCTGTCAAATTTTCTGAATCCCTGCATTTATAAATGTTATGAAAAATAATTCTCTCTGCTCTGTATTAATTTTCTTTTTATTTGTAGGAACAGATTATTGACTTTGCAATGAGGTAGTGCTACACTCAGATCTTAAAATTCTGGTTACAAAGGAAGTAATGAAGCTTATTTACAAGAACTGAGGAAGTAAAGATTTAATGTGGTGTTCAAACATTACAGCACACAGAGTTATTCGATAATGTTGTAAACTGTTGTTACACAAAATTATGAATAAAAGTTTTTCTTGGGCAAAACACTACTCTAACAGTACCTCTCCTCACACGAGGTTGTGCATTGGAACCTGTGATCTATTAGGGAAGGCGTAAAAAAATCCTGGGAGAGAGGGGGGGGGGCAATAAACTAAAATCAAATCTGTGAGTATTTTCATCACCTGTGGTTGCTGGGATGTGCTCCATTAGCTTTAACTTTCAGTTCCACAACCTGAATTTATCTCAGATTTACCCCAACCCAACTGACCCCAACTTGACAAAATTAATATTCAAAACCTTGATTTTTCAAAACAAAAGGGAACAGACTGGTATCATGGGACCACTGTTTGTGTCCCTTTAATCTACTCTCTCCTGCATAGACACAGACAATTCCTTATGTAACCATTACAAACATGATAAACATGTACCAGGGAATCTTTGTTAGTGAAGTTTTAATTGTTTCTGTATTTATTAAGACATCCCACCGTGAGCTGTCAACTGTCAAGATGCGCAACATTTCGCCTGAGCTTACACAATTATTCAATATTCCAAAAACAAAGGTTTACGTTGGTTTCTTATCAAGCAATGAGTGTTACTTGAAATAAAGAATCCAGTGGGCCCCTTTTAACTAATAAAAATGTTGAATTGTTTTTTTTAACAAAATCCCCCATGATTTTTTTTTACACACCCAACATTAACATCTGATTCACACTAAGCCTTATCCCTGGCCATAACTGACCAACGCTGAAGTTCTCTTCACCCCATATCATTACATTATGTAGCAAAATAATAACAAGAATAAATAAACTTTTCTTCCTGATGGTTATCTTCAAAACACCAACTTCTCTGAATTAATTTTCAAAGAAATGTCTGACTTCTAGTGAGGAGAAAAACAAACTGGATCATGTAGATTTAAGGGTTAAACCTGGAACCCACTCAATCATGACAGACCCCTGTTCTCCATGAGCGCTGTGAAAAATAATCCTCCTAAGTTAACATTTTATCCTAATTTAACATCAGTAGAGAAAGAAAGTGCTATTTGAAATAGCAGTGTACAGTACAACCTAGTAAGGTGGAAAGGACTTTGTTATTATTTACATAGCTTTTCATCAGAAACAATTCTGACAAGTGAACAGTTCCTAAATACAAATGTATGGATCGGTAATACAATACAAAAGTTGCTAAGCTTAAAAGAGATATTTAGATGGCATGCAACAAAATATTCTTTGGAAAAACTTTACTTCTAAAAAGAGTATAGTTATCATGCAGAACGAAGACAAATAGGTCAACAATTATTTTGGGGCACAACATTTTTTAACAATATTGAGCGCTGCTATTTTTTTGAACTTGACAATTAAAATGATAGCTATTATTGATATAAATCCCACACCATTAATAACATGGAAAAAATGTTTTTTCTGGTATTTTGCTTCCCACATAAGTATAGTTTCAGAAGAAGAGAAAATTAAAAAATATGCCCAAAATCCATTGAAATTGTTACAGCTCTAAACAGCAATCAGCTACAGCTCAATTTTGACATTTCTACAATTTTATCACCTGTAATATTCACTTTTTACTACTGGTATATTATGTACAACATCAACAATTTGAAACACCGTAAGTTTTGATACCATAGAGACATGGTAAACAGTCCACAAAATCTGAAGCCTTTAATTTCTGATGAAAAAAGGTTGACAGTGCATTCAACCAGATACTTAGCCATGCTTGTTACCAACCCTAAACTGCATTAGTTTAATATATTTTTAGCTCTATGTTCATGCAGTTTTATGAAAGTATAGTAACAAATTCTAAAAAAGGATAATTTAAAATTTTCATATTTTACTTTATAGTAGCACTGAAGAAAAATTGGTTAAAATGGTTGAGGTTCAATCATGTCTGTACCCTTTCAATAATGACTTTGGATCAATTTTAGTATCTGAGTAACTACAGACCCTCCCCCCCCCCAGTCCAAGATTAACCCCAACTTGTTATCACTCCTTGACTGTGGTTGTGTCGAGGGAGGAGCAGTTTTACAGTTCCTCACATACTGGCATCGGTCCATGACTTCACTAGTAATAGAGGGTACTGTAAGACAGTCAAACTCCAACATAAGCAAAAATGTGGGGAACAAAGAAGACTGCAGTGAAGCCAACTGTTGTATAGGTGAGGAAGCGATGGGGCATTTCTGAAACAGATTTCATCTTCTTTGGATCAGTCTCTGCAAGAAGCCATGGCACGACTGTATGCACTGTTGACTTCATCACTGCACGTGTTGGAATAATCACAGCCACACCAAACAAAAACTTGCACATCATCCAAAACATTTCCTCCTGACCGGGAATTCGAATTGGGTATGGTGCTCCTCGGTACGGGTCAGGCACCCCTTGAAAGTAGAACCTTCCCCAAGTACCAAGCAGTGCCCCACAAGCTCCGAATAGAATAGTGGCAGTATCTGCCCTCGTCTGAGTGTATCTTGGTGGTGTTGGATACATAAGGATCAGGATTATTGGAACTACTACGAGAAAAATTGGCGTGTTTGGAGAACTGAACACCCATCTGTCAATAGACACATCCAGAAGTGGAATCACAGTGGCAAGTAAAACAACAGCAAATGCAATGCCAACAAGAAGATCCTACAAAGTACGAAATGTGATAACTTAACAACAGATAAAAACCATCCTTCTGTCTCTTTTTCCCTGTCAACCCTTAATATTCTAACACATTCTCCCTATATTTCCTAACATCAGTATGCATATTCTCCATACTGTTCTCTAATTCCTAAGGTGATGCTAACAAGGAGAATTTGTTTAACAATCAAGAGCCTTCTAAGTTGGTGATCATTTCCTCTATTCTCCTGACCTTAATGTGTGATTCAGGGGTGATATTGTAAGGAGAAATTAGATGCTGGTCACTGCTAGGGGCCAAAAGGTCAATCAAACAGACAAGTCCCTTTTTACGATCAAACAGAAAGTAAACTTCAACAAAGCAATCGACAAACTTAATAAATCTAAATATGCCATGTTATTTGACTTAACATTTGACTCTTGCCAAAATCCAAATCCAAAATCCACAAATTTCGAACTTCCTAATTTTGACCCCTTTAAATTTGGAAGTGGTGATCATATATTTGTATATTTAAACCACATGAGAGAAAGTCACAAGTTCGTACCACATTTTTCCCTTACTGTAAACAAAGCTACTCAACACATTGTAACTTCTACAACAATGTCATATCCACATGTAACTGATATTTACTCTTAAAGTGAGAGGGGATAGGAACACCATAAAACAAGCAAAATGACACCACTTTTCCCCTTGACTAGGGACACCACATCCTTGCACTGACCTTGAATTAATAGGAAGCAAATGCAAATACCTGCAGTGTGTGCATTCCCATGTATAGACGACTGGTTGATACCAGAACACACCAACATATGCCAAATATTACACCAATGTAAAGGGGATACTGTAACAAAAGAACCAAATTCAGTTACTTTGTTTTAAAATGTAATAGATTGAAGAATTTTTTGTCAATTCAGAATTGTGCCCATTAATAAATGTTGCTTGTAAAAGACAGGGTACCCAGTAAGAATTGATGGCAGAATTCATAGGGAAACAGGTTATAAATACCATCACACTCTGATCTGATTCCTTAAAATCTGGCACTGTGAATTCCAAGCAGGAACTTAAATTTTTCCTCTTGCTTCTTTTTACAGATAATGCAGATACCAAGAGAATATTATTTGTAATAATAATAATAATATAGATCGATTTCTATAGCGCATTTCCATGTAAATGCTCTAATGCGCTTTACAACACTGTGCGGGGGACTTTCCAGACTGCCGGCGACAGTTTACAATAATTATATAGAGAAGAAATTTTACAGATGCCCCCTTCCCCCATTCCCAGTAAAACATTGTTTCATAATGGTAATATACAGTTGTTATTGTTGAAGGCTGCATTGGAGCTTGAAGTATTTTGTACGCAAAATTAAGCAAATTAGAACACAACTTAAAGCCAAAGAAAATCACTGATTCAACTTCCTACATCTCACGGATAACGCACCTGATGTCTAGCTATTCAGAAGTTTAACAGGTACTTGATTTTATTAATTTTTGCGAGGATAATTTTTTTATTTCCTTATCAGCACTTGGCTATCCCTGTCTGACATTCAAACAATCAAGGGTGTAATTAATACGTGTTTGGTCAACGCATTGTAGTTTGATTTCAATCACGATCCATAACAAAACTTGTATACAGTATCAAGACAAAAGTGGTGCGGAAAAGTTCTTGTTTGCATAAAACGGCTATTAACATGACAGTGCTGTACTGTGCCCTTAGCCATCGATTAGTCACGAAAGTTGTTGGCACATTTATAAGTATGTTCTCACATCAGTTGACACGTTTACACGGGCTAATTGCGACAACAAGTGTATATGAAACTAACCCTACACAAATTAAACGTAGCAGGTACAGACCACAGAAAAGAAGCTTACCTGGTAACGATCGTAACTAAAATACACCAAACAAAACGGAATTATTGTCCCCACCATGGCGTGTGTCGACGGCATGCCATATTCTACTTGGAAACGTTTCTCCACAGAAATCACGGGAGGAGAAGGTGGTCTTGGCCACTGAATAACATCTTTTGCACTCTGACCTACGTACATAATAACAGCCCATAAAATAACAGTTCTCCGAGCCAGGTATTCGTCAATGTTCCAAATCAAGAAAGGAAAAAATGTGAGATAAAACGACTCGTAGCCCAGGGTTGAACCAAACACGAAAAGTGCGTGGAAAAATCTGTTGTACTCGTACAACTCGTCGATTTTCTTTTCCTCGCCAGCTGATTTGGACTTTTCTAGTGGCCCAGGCTTCACGAATCCGTTTCGCTGATGGGCGTGATTTGAACCGTTCGAGAGAAGATGATTGCTTTGAGTATCTGAAATATGTCCATTTCTAAATGACGAGGAGTCCTGATCACGCATCGTTGAGAGGACATCTTTCTCGCGTTCTATCCTCCTTAAACCAAACGTCTGCTGGAATTTAGCGACGAAAGAAGGATCTCCCAGTGCTTTGAACATTGTAAATTAGGGCAAACCACAGCCGTTTGAGCGAATATTAGGGTTACGGAGGGGAGTGTGAAGCGCGCCGGCTGCACGCAAGGCTCGGTCGGACTCGGTTACTCGGGTCAATATTGGCGAACTTTACCTAATATGGATATGCATTATCACGATATACCGGGTCACTTGCCGTACACGTGATAAATGGGGGACTCCCTGACCCAGAAACGGATTGTACAACAATTAACAACCCTTCTACAAATTATTATCACTTTCATTTTCAGAATATAAGGCTAAAAATTTTCCCGATCGATAAAAGAGTGGGGATTATTTGTTCAATCGATTTCCTTATAAACCAAATTGCAAAACGTGCGCTCCATTTAGGCAACGAAGGGATTTTTTCAGAAGGATTCAAGGAGGTCACGAAATCCTACCTCGCTCCGTACTTTGTTTCACTCATGAATTTGAACGAGTTTTGAAACGACATTTGCCCTTCTTTTCCGTTGCTAATCTATACTTAAGTTTCCAAAAAATGTAATCGATGCCTGCCGATCACTGATCACAGCTGATCACAACTGCAACATTAAAGACACTTCGCAAACTCTCAAAGGGAGGATTTCAAAACACCGGAAATGGAAAAAGAAAAATACTACGGTCAGACAAGATGATGACTGGACTATGGAACGCACCGCCGCTAGAAATCCGTTCAAGTGAAAATTTGTTGCAATTCAAGCGCGATCTTAAAACACATCTTTTTAGGAAAACTTTTCTGTAAATAATCTTTTATTGGTTAGTTAGTGGGTTAGTTTTTTAGGCAGGTAGGTAGTTGGTAAGGTTTTATTATCCTTAGCTTTTATTCTGCTTTTAAAAACTGAGTTATTTCATTTATTAGTTTATCTTTTAATCGTGTTTTAGATATTTTTAATATCATTGTAAAGCGCTATTGGATAGCAACAGAGATAGCGCTATATAATTTTTAAAAGATTAATATTTATAATCAAATGGCGACGAGTGAAATTAGGAAATAATTTCACTTGCGTTCAATTTCCCGAGCCTTTAGGCGAGAGAAATTATCAGAATTTTGACAAAACGCAAGTGAAATTATTTCCTAATTTCACGAGAAAACCATTTGATTACCTGTTAACATCGTGGGTGACAAATTACGTTCACAACCGTAATTGTTTTTATTGGTTTATTCTATCGAAAACCGAGAACATGAAGTAGAATAAAGTTTTCGTTAAAGCATACATTATTGTTAAAGTTCGTAATTTTCTGAGTTTCTTCACAAAAAATACCTTTCGAATTCTTCGTGCCTGTTAATAATTTTCGGCCGCTTCTTTTAATTTCGTAACTTCTTCAAGGGTCACCGTCTTAAAACTAGCGACTAAATACAGGAATGGCTCCGACCTGTAAAAGTTTGTAAAAGTTAATATGTTACATCTTAACTCCTTGCACGTGAGTATTGTTTAACCGTGTGTCTCCAAGCGAAACAGGGAAATATCAATGCGACTGAAAACTCCGATGTGTCAAACAAGAGATGGTTACTTACATAACGAAGGGGAGACCTTTCTCGTTCAGCGATATTCCGGAGAGGACTAAGTCATCTGCTGACTCGTTCCGCTGACTAAACTGATTTAGTCAGTGCAGACTCAGTTCAGGTGGACGACTAGAGACTGGAGCCATTCCTGTATTTCACCGCTGGCAGGAATGGCTCCGACTCATGCGTTTATTAATTTTCTTTTTTTTTT